GTTCTCTTTCTGTCTGTGTGATCTATCTATCCATTTACTGTGGGTTGTTACCATCTCCTTCTCTCACTGTAATGTTGTCAGTTTCTCCCTTTAAGTCAGTTATATGCTTTATATATTTTGGTGCTCTGTTGTTAGGTGCATATATATTAATAAATATGTTTTCTAAATGAATTGTACCCTTTATTGTTAGTATATAATGCCCGTCTCTGTCTTTTGTTAACTTTTTTGGCCTGAAGTCTGTTTTGTCAGATATGAGTATGGTTACGCCTGCTTTCTTTTGGCTGCCAGTTGCTTAGAGTATCATTTTGCAGCCCTTTACTTAGAACTGAGATGAGTCTCCTAGAGTCAGCATATAGTTGGGTCTTATGTTTTACTCCATCCAGGCACTCTGTGTCTTCTGCTTGGTGAATTCAATCTATTTACATTCAGAGAGAGAGAGAGAGAGAGAGAGAGAGAGAGTGTGTGTGTGTGTGTGTGTGTGTGTGTGTGTGTGTGTGTTTGCCATGCTGTGTGGCATGCAGGATCTTAGTTTCCCAACCTGGGATCGAACCCATGCCCCCTGCAATGGAAGAACAATCTTAACCACGGGACCACCAGGGAAGTCCCCATTTAGTGTGATTATTGATGTATGAGGACTTGGTATTGCCATTTATCTTTTGTTTTCTGGTTGTTCTGTAGTTCCATTGTTTCCTTTTCTTTGCATTTCTGTGCAAGGAAATGGTAGTCTTCTATGATGTTTTTCTCAGTTTTCTCCCTTTTTTTTATGTTTTGTGTCTCTGCTCTAGATTTTTGTTTTGTGGTTGTCGTGAGGTGTGCATAAACATCTCAGAGATAGTCCTTTTTCTGTGGGTGGTATCTTTTTAAAAATTTGTATCTATTTATTTTTGGCTGTACTGGGATCTTCGTTACTGCACAGGCTTTTCTCTCGTTGTGGTGAGTGGGGGCTACTCTCTAGTTGTGGTGTGCGGGCTTCTCATTGTGATGGCTTCCCTTGTTATGGAGCACAGACTCTAGGGCTGCACAGGCTTCAGTAGTTGCCGCACATGAGCTCAGTATGTAGCTTCTGGACTCTAGAGCACAGTCTCAGCAGTTGTGGCACACAGGCTTAGCTGCTCCTCGGCATGTGGGATCTTCCCAGCCCAGGAATCAAACACGTGTCTCCTGCACTGGCAGGCAGATTCTTTACCACTGAGCCACCAGGGAAGTCCTGTTGGTAGTAGCCTATCCTCATATTCCTATAGAGGTTGCCTCTTTTCTCCTTTTTCCCTTTTATATTTTTGTTGTCACAAATATGTCTCAGCACAGAATACTGTGAATTCATTCACAAATTGATGTAGCTATAGTTATTTTTTTCATCCTTTAATCTTTGCTGTAACTAAGTGTTTAACAACCTGTTTTTAATGGTTTGTGTTTTGTTTTAATTTGGCTGTGCCGAGTCTTCGTTGCCACATGAAGAATCTTTGTTGCCGCATACTGGATATTTACTTGTGGCATGTGGGATCTAGTTTCTTGACCGGGGATTAAACTGGGGCCCCCTGCATTCAGAGTGCAGAGTCTTAATCACTGGACCACCAAGAAATTCCCAGCAACCTATTCTGATATATAGTTACCGCTTTCTGATTCTATTTATTTATTAGCTTAAAATTTTTTGTACTTTTGCTTTTTCATTTCAAGTAGAAGAATTTTTTTCAGCATTTCTTGTAAGGAAAGTCTAGTGATGATAAACTCCCTCAAATCTGTTTGTCTGGGAATGCCTTTATTTCTCCCTGTATCTGAATGAAGCTTATGCTTATAGAGTATTCTTGGCTGATAGTTTTTATCTTTCAATATTTTGTCATTCTACCCTGTCCTGGCCAATAGAGTTTCTGCTGAGAAATCTGCTGATCATCTAGTGGGGGTACCTTAGTAGGTTGCTGTCTTTTTTCCCCCTGGCTGCCTTTAAAGTTGTTTCTTTGTCATTGACTTTTGACAGTTTTAATGTGTCTTGGGGAAGGTCTTTTTAGGTGTTCTATTTGCTACATGGGCTTGTATATCTAGCCCCTTTCCCAGATTTGAGACATTCTCAGCTACTACTTAGAAGGGGGCGACAGAAGATGAGATGGTTGGATGGCATCACCACCTCGGACATGAGTTTGAGCAAGCTCTGGGAGTTGGTGATGGACAGGGAAGGCTGGCGTGCTGCAGTCCATGGGGTCACAGAGTCAGACATGACTGAGTGACTGAGCTGAGCAGCTCTTACTTCCTTAAATAAGCTCTGTTTCCTTCTCCTTCTCTTTTCCCTCTGGTATACCCATTGTCCTTATTTCACCTTTCTAATGGAGTTGGATAGTTCTTGTAGTTTCTTCATTAAAAAAAAAAAAAAGACTTAGTTCTTGCTCCTCTTTCTCCTGAATCATTTCTCAGTTTCTGTCTTTAAGCTCACTAATTCTCTCTTCCATATGGTCTACTCTATTTCCAGTGTTTTTTAATGCCATTCTTCATATTATTTATTGAGCTCTTCAGCTTCATAAGTTCTGTTTGGTTCTTTTTTAAGAGTTTCTTTCAGTCTCTTGGATAAAATATTCCTTCTTTTCATTTTTTCCTTAATTCATTGAACTGCTTTTCTGTTTTCTTGTAGCATGTTGAGTTTCTTCCTGATAGCTATTTTGAATTCTCTGTGAGACCACAGTCTTCTGTGATTTTAAGTTTGGTTTCTGGAGAATTGTCATTTTCTTCTTCTGATGCTATATTACTATGACTTTTCATGGTGCTTGATGAGTTGTTCCTTGGCTGGCATGCTTGAGGTAGTGAATACCTTTCTCATTTAGGTAAAGCTTTATTTACTTTGATTCTAACAGTTCAACAAGTTGGTAATTAGAATACTTTTTTTTGTTGTTTTTCAGTAGATGGCACTGCAGCACAATTTATAGCTTGGTTTCTCTTACCTGAGATGCCTCTGGGTATATTTAATTGGCACTTTCTACTCTCTTATCACCTCTGCCAGAGGTGTCACCAATGCCCTCATCATCTTTGCTTCTTTCCTATGGGGTTACTGTTGCCCTGATGCTGCAAGAGTTGCTGTCGTTACTGGCATCACCACCAGGGACACCAGGATGACAGGCCTCTCTGCCACAACTGGGGTTGCCTGGGTTGTGGACTCTGCTGTAGCAGTGAGGGCAGGGGAGAGCCAGATTTGTGGGTGCTGTAGGATGGAACAGAGTCACAGGCGCTGCAATGGCCCTTCCAGTCTTTCTTAAGGCTGCTCTGTCCTGTATTTTGTCCTCATTGTTACCAGAACTGCTCTTGGTGAGGTCACTAATGCTCTCCTCTTAGTTAAATTTAGTGGTAAATTCTCAGGCATTCTTATATCATCCATCAGTCACATTTGGCACAGTTGATCACTCTGTTCTTCTTAATACACTGACTTCACTTGACTTCCAAGATACCACACACTTTTTTTTTATTTTTTACTTTTTTATTTTGTATTGGAGTAAAGCCGATTAACAATGTGATAATTTCAGGTGGACAGCAGAGGGATTAAGCCATACATATACATGTATCCATTCTCCCCTAAACTCCCCTCCCATCCAGGCTGCCACATAACATTAAGAAGAGTTCCCTGTGTTATACAGTAGATCCATGTTGACACCACACTCTTTTGGTTTTACTTCTTCCTCCCTGTTACTCTTTTCTGGTTTCGTCTCTTCATCTGGGAAGGTTTATTGTACATTATTGTGACAATAGCTCGCAAATACTCCCCTGCAGTCTATCTTCAGCATAGCAACTAGAGTGACTGTTTTCACACCATACCTCTGCTTACCTCTGCAGTGGCTTCACATATCTCTCAGAGTAAAAGATGGTGTTTTTATAGCACTTAACAATGATGTTCAAGGCCCTGCATGATCTGCCCTCTTTGCCCTGTTCTCTCTCTGACCTTGTCTCCTTCTGTTCTTCCCCTTCCTCCATTCCTCCTACACGTGCTTTCCTTATTAGACCTTGAACACGCCAGGTAGGCTGCCTTTGCAACAGCAGTTTCTTTTATCTGGGACACTCTTCCATCAGAGGCATGGCGTGGTTAATCTCTTACCTCCCTTAGGTCTTTGCTGAAATACCACCTTCTCAATGAAGCTTACTCTTGTCACTCCACTTAAATGGCCCTTATCTGTATCCCTGGCATTCTGAATTCCCTATACAACCTAATCCACTTCTTTTTTCATAGCATTTATGACTGTCTTTTTTTTTTTAATATTTATTTATTTGACCACACCAGGTCTTAGTTGCAGCACGTGGGGTCTTCAGTCTTCATGTCTGCATATAGGATATTTTGGTTGCAGCACATGGGATCTAGTTCCCTGATCAGGGCTCAAACCTGGGCCCCCTGCATTATAAGCACAGTCTTAGCCACTGGACCACTAGGAAAGTCCTTCTTTATGACTTTCTAACACACAGTTTCTTTTTAAAATATGTTTAGGTTTATGGGCTTCCCTCATAGCTTAGTTGGTAAAGGACTAAGTTGGTCTCCTGCAATGCAGGAGTTGGGTTGGGAAGATCCCCTGGAGAAAGGATAGGCTACCCACGCCAGTATTCTTGGGCTTCCCTTGTGCTCAGCTGGTTAAGAATCCTCCTGCAATGTGGGAGACCTGGATTCAGTCCCTGGGTTGGGAAGATTCCCTAGAGAAGGGAAAGGCTAACCACTCCAGTATTCTGGTCTGGAGAATTCCATGGACTGTATAGCCCATGGGGTCGCAAGTGTTGGACACAAATGAGAGACTTTCACTTAGGTTTATTACTTGCTGCCACTAGATTGTAAGCTCTTTAAAGGCAGGAATTTTTATCTCTTCTGCTTATTTATGTATCCCAGTAGCATGAAATAGTCCCTGGCACTCAGTAGCCACCCAAAAAAGCATTAATTGAATGGATGAATGAGCTGACTAACAAACAGTAATAATTAACAGTATTTTCTAAAATGTTTTCATGTTGGAAATATATGAATGTGACATTCAGGTTCTGATTCTGTGCAGGAATGGCTATTCATACAAGGTGGCAGTTGCACTGTCCCTTTTCCTTGGATGGTTGGGAGCAGATCGATTTTACCTGGGATACCCTGCCTTGGGTGAGTACTTTATTTAAAAAAAAAAAATTCTTGTGAAACTTGTAGGTAAATGTACCTATTCTTATAGATTAAATCTCTGCATGCTATTAATAGTTACAGGTTCCATGTAGCTGGAGTTGAATAGTCAATGTTTTTCTCTGATTACAGAGCTAGCAGTTATCTCTGTAGTGAACTTGGGTAAAAGATACTGACTTGACTTGTTTTTTTTTCATCTTTATGAAAGCACACACTTGAGACAGTGTAGCCATTAGGATAGTAGACTGGAGTTGTCATTGCTAGTGCTATGTACACATTGGGTATTCAATAAATGTTTTAGGAATAAATGTGTATCTTTTCCTATCCCTCCAAAAATATTTGCCTTCTACCTGGATCTCTATCAGTGTTACTTTGGAAATAGAAACCACTTCTTTCAGGAGAAGTTGGGGTTGGGACTGCAGCAACCAGTATGAGCTGGTGTGGAGTCTGATTATTACCCCTAGCATCCCTCCCCACACCTTCCTCCTGGTTGTAATTTATACATTTACCATAGTTATTAATGCTTCTGAAAGTGAGTCACATTTGATGATAGCTTTGGTTTAAATAATACTTTCACATGTCTCCCCTTATTTGAGCCTTAAAACTATCTGAGATTATCATCCTGTTTAAATCTGCTTTAACAGGTAGGGAAATTGTCACCAGAGAAGTTAAAGGATTTGCTACCTCTGGAGGCCTTGCTTTATATACTCTGATATATTTGTTATCATCATTGTTTTATGGATAGGGAACTTGTCATGAGATTAAGAGATTTACCCAAGGACACTCATCTAGTGACCTGAATTTGAACCCAAATACTCTGGCTCAAGAGATCATGCTTTATTTACTGTAGTACTTTGCTTCTATATTAGCCCTTCAGTGAGCAGTTTTAAAGTTTCTGAGTGCTCTGCTTTCTAGCTACCAAAGCTAATCTTATTCTTTCCATCTTGCTACCCACCAGAGATCAAAGAGGAATCTTCACTGTGAGGTTCAGTTCAGTTCATTCTCTCAGTCGTGTTCGACGCTTTGCCACTCCATGGACTGCAGCACACCAGGCTTCCCTGTCCATCACCAACTCCCAGAGCTGGCTCAAACTCATGTCCAGTGAGTCAGTGATGCCATCCAACCATCTCATCCTCTGTTGTCCCCTTCTCCTCCTCCTGCTGTCAATCTTTCCCAGCATCAGTATCTTTTCTAATGAGTCAGTTTTTCGCATCAGGTGACCAAACTATTAGAGCTTCAGCTTGAACATCAGTCCTTCCAATGAATATTTAGGACTGATTTCTTTTAGGATTGACCGGTTTGATCTCATTGCAATCTAAGGGACTCTCAAGAGTCTTATCCAATACCACAGTTCAAAAACATCAATTCTTTGGTGCTTAGCTTTCTGTAGGTCCAACTCTCACATCCATACATGACTACTGGAAAAACCATAGCTTTGACTAGATGGACCTTGGTTGGTAAAGTAATGTCTCTGCTTTTTAATACGCTGTCTAGGTTGGTCATAGCTTTTCTTCCAAGAAGCAAGCGTCTTTTAATTTCATGGCTGCAGTCACGATCTGCAGTGATTTTGGAGCCCAAGAAAATAAAGTCTCTCACTGTTTCCATTGTTTCCCCATCTATTTGCCATGAAGTGCTGGGACCAGGTGCCATGATCTTAGTTTTTTGAATATTGAGTTTTAAGCCAACATTTTCACTCTCCTCTTTCACTTTCTGGAGGCTCTTTAGTTCTTTGCTTTTTGTGATAACAGTGTTGTCATCTGCATATCTGAAGTTATTGATATTTCTTCCTGCAATTTTGATTCCAGCTTTTGCTTCATCCAGCTAGGCATTTCTCATGATGTACTCTGCATATAAGTTTAATAAGCAGGGTGACAATATACAGCCTTGACATACTCCTTTTCTCATTTGGAACCAGTCTGTTGTTCCATGTCCAGTTCTAACTGTTGCTTCCTGACCTGCATACAGATTTCTCAAGAGGCAAGTCAGGTGGTCTGGTATTCCCATCTCTTGAAGAATTTTTCAGAGTTTGTTGTGATCCACACAAGCTTTGGCATAGTCAGTGAAGCAGAAGTAGATATTTTTCTAGAACTCTCTTTTCTTCATTATATAAATTTTATATTAGGATTAAATAAGGGAAATATGTTGAGGGTGAGATTAAATTAAATTTAATAAGATCCAAACATTCCTTTAAGAAAATTTTTTCTTTATAGATACTTTATGTATATAGCATTATTTCCTCTAATTGATTTATTCTCATACATGTGCTGCTTTAGCTGAACCCTTTTTTCACCAGGAAGCCTTATTTTTCTAATATTCTGTCTTTGTGTTTTTAACTGTGTTAACATCTGTGATTTTCTTTACATGGCAATAATTGGTATATTTTGTTTTGGCCATCTGTAGCATTAAAAGATTATGGATTCTCAAAGGTAGTAGCTCTTTTGGAGCAGTTAATGGGCGGAGAGATACTCCTTTCATGGTGATATTACTTTTAAGTGTAAATATTTTCTTATGAGAATAACAAAGTGTTGTGTATTTTTAAGCCCCAAACTTCAAAATCTTTGGTTATTTTATTCCTTTTTTCTTTTTAAGTTTGGAGTTACCAGTTTGGACTGGCATATTATATCCACAGATCATGGGACAAATAAAAGTACAGGGATTTGTAGGTTAAACTCTTCTAAGATTTGAAAGCTCTCCTTTATTGGTATAGGAACAAAAAGAATAGAGATACCTAATTACCAAATCATTACAGAACACTTGTGCTTTGGCACAAGCAGCTTCAGTATGAAATAATCTACATTCTCTAAAATGGTTACACAGAAGAGTATTTGCAAGACTCAACCTGTAATAAAGCAAAATGTATCCCCAATTTTTTTAAATACCAAAAATTAATCTCTGTGCTTTTTACTTTATACCCAAATAAATCCTTTTATTGAATTTGTATACTTTAAATGTAAAATTTAAGTTACTAAAGTATAAATAAAGTACACTGAAAACATGAGCTTTTTGAATATCATCTGGCAGCATAATCTTTTTGGAAGAATATATCTACGACAGTAATGACTGAGGATAAAAATGGATCCTTCTTGATTAGAAACATTTTTATTTGGAATTTCAAAACTTTAAAATCTAAATACATCATTTCTTTCCTTGATAAGCAAATAGGATCTGTACAAAGAGGCCTAACAACTTTTTTACTTGGATAAAAAAGTCAATCTACTTTTGGTTGTTCACAAATCCCTCCCTCCCTCTTTTAAAAAATTAGTGTTGGTGCTCAAAATAATGAAATACACACAAGTAATGGTTTGCATTGGTTTTGATATAAAAAAGATTGCCCTCTGTATACTGGTGCCAAATTGAGTCTTGCAGACAGTTTTGGATGAAGTAGAAAAGAATAGCTTTATTGCTTTGCCAGACAAGAAGGGACACTACAGACTCCTGCCCTCAAGAACTGTGTGCCCCAACCCAGGAGGATTTGATGAGGAGTTCATGGACCGAGGAGCCTGGTAGGCTACAGTCCATGGGGTCGCAAAGAGTTGGACACGACTGAGCGACTTCACTTTATAGCACTAGTTTCAAGGGTGCAGTTGCTGACAAGTTAGCCTGTGTGCAGCACCTGCACATCTCTCGTCCAGTCTCAGTTAATCTTGAAGAAAAGTGAAAAAAGTGAAAGTCACTCAGTCAGGTAGACTCTTTGTGACCCCATGGACTATACAATCCATGGAATTCTGGCCAGAATACTGGAGTGGGTACCCTTTCCCTTCTCCAGTTGATCTTCCCAACCCAGGTCTCCTGATTGTGGGCAGATTCTTTACACCAGCTGAGCTACAAGGGAAGCCCAAGAATACTGGAGTGGATAGCCTACCCTCTCTCCAGGGGATCTTCCCAACCCAGGAATCAAACTGGGGTCTCCTGCATTGCAGGCAAATTCTTTTTCAACTGAACTATCAGGGAAGCCCTAATCTTGATGAGCCTCTCTGATTCCTGGCCTCTGTTGGCTTGTTGGCTGTTCCTCCCCTGTTTAGCAACTGTTCACATCTGCCCTTGGAACTCAGGAAAGGTCATGGAGGCTGGATTCTCTTCCCTTCAAAAAAGAAAACGGGACAGAAAGGCCAGGAGCACCCACAGGGTCCGGTCATTTTCAGTTTTAATAAATGCTGTTTAAAGTGTATGCTACTTTGTGTTTTTCAAGTTGATCAGAGATTGTTTCTAGTTTTTTGATAGTCATATAACAAATATTCATCAAACTCTGCCCTACGGTTCAAGGAATTGACTTGAATAAGACAGATGAGAACCCTGTCTTCAGGAGTTTACATGGCATAGGAAGACAGAGAATTAATGAACAAACCAAGAAATAATTTCTGATCAACACCATGGTGGAAATAAATAGGAGAGGTGCGATAGAGTGCTGGGGCTGTTAGGGGGAATGGCATGCTCGAAGAAGTCTCTGAAGTACCCTGAGATGAGAAGAGCTGCAGGAAGAACACCATTGCAAGAGGACATCAGGAGGGCAGAGGCACTGGCACAGTTCCATTGTCTTCATAGAGTAGCAGTTCATTGAAGACAACGTTTTTCAAACCATTCTTTTTTTTTTTTGGCTGTGCTGGGTCTTTGTTGTTGCACACGGGCTTTCTCTAGTTGTGGTGAGTGGGGGCTGCTCTCTAGCTGTGGCTTGCAGGCTCAGTTTTGTAGTGCTAGGGCTTAGTTGCCCAGTGGCCTGTGGAATATTTCTGGACCAGGGATCAAACACATGACCCCTACATTGGCAGGCAAATTCTTAAGCACTGGACCACCAGAATGTGAAGTCATGTGGGCCTTAGGAAGCAAAATGGTCGTCTGAGGAGGCCTTAGAAATAGCTGTGAAAAGAAGAGGAGCAAAAGGCAAAGGAGAAAAGGAAAGATATATCCATCTAAATGTGGAGTTCCAAAGATTAGCATGGAGAGATAATAAAGTCTCCCTAAGTGATCAATCCAAAGAAATAGAGAAAAACAATAGAATGGAAAAGACTACAGATCTCTCCAAGAAAATTATAGATACCAAGGGAACATTTCATGTAAAGATGGGTGCAATAAAGGACAGAAACAGTATGGACCTAAGAGAAGCAGAAGATATTAAGAAGAGGTGGCCAGAATACACAGAAGAATTATACAAAAAAGATCTTAATGACCCACATGATAGTGTGATCACTCACCTAGAGCCAGACATCCTGGAATGTGAAGTCAAGTGGGCCTTAGGAAGCATCACTGTGAACAAAGCTAGTAGAGGTGATGGAATTCCAGTTGAGCTATTTCAAATCCTAAAAGATGATGCTGTTAAGGTGCTGCACTCAGTTTGCCAGCAAATTCAGAAAACAGCAGAGGCCACAGGACTGGAAAAGGTTAGTTTTCATTCCAATCTCAAAGAAAGGCAATGCTGAAGAATGTTCAAACTACTGCACAATTGCCCTCATCTCACATGCTAGCAAAGTATTGCTCAAAATTTTCCAATCCAGGCTTTAAGAGTACATGAACCATGAACTTCCAGATGTTCAAGCTGTATTTAGAAAAGGTAGAGGAACCATAGATAAAATTGCCAACATCCGTTGGATCATCGAAAAAGCAAGCGAGTTCTAGAAAAACATCTACTTCTGCTTTATTGACTACGCCAAAGTCTTTGACTGTGTGGGTCACAACAAACTGAAAAATTCTTCAAGAGATGGGAATACCAGACCACCTGACCTGCCTCTTGAGAAATCTATATGCAGGTCAAGAAGCAACAGTTAGAACTGGACATGGAACAACAGACTAGTTCCAAATTGGGAAAGGATTAGGTGAAGGCTGTATACTGTCACCCTGCTTATTTAACTTACATGCAGAGTACATCATGCAAATTGCTGGGCTGGATGAAGTACAAGCTGGAATCAATATTTCTGGGAGAAGTAGCAAAAACCTCAGATATGCAGATGACACCACCCTTATGGCCAAAAGCAAAGAAGAACTAAAGAGCCTGTTGATGAAAGTGTAAGAGGAAAGTGAAAAAGTTGGCTTAAAACTCAGCATTCAGAAAATTATGATCATGACATCTGGTCCCATCATTTCATGGCAAATAGATGGGGAAACAATGGAAACAGAGACTTTATTTTCTTGGGCTCCAAAATCACTGCAGATCGTGACTGCAGCCACGAAATTAAAAGACGCTTACTCCTTGGAAGAAAAGCTATGACCAACCTAGACAGCGTATTAAAAAGCAGAGACATTACTTTACCAACAAAGGTCCGTCTAGTCAAAGCTATGGTTTTTCCAGTAGTCATGTATGGATGTGAGAATGGGACTATAAAGAAAGCTAAGCACCAAAGAATTGATGATTTTGAACTGGGGTGTTGGAGAAGACTGTTGAGAGTCCCTTGGACTGCAAGGAGATCCAACCAGTCCATCCTAAAGGAAATCAGTCCTGAATATTCATTGGAAGAACTGATGCTGAAGCTGAAACTCCAGTACTTTGGCCACCTGATGGGAAGAACCTACTCATTGGAAAAGACCCTCATGCTGAGAAAGAGTGAAGGCGGGAGGAGAAGGGGACAACAGAGGCTGAGATGGTATGATGGCATCACTGACTTGATGGCCATGAGTTTGAGTAGGCTCACGGAGTTGGTGATGGACAGGGAAGCCTGGTATGCTGCAGTCCATGGGGACACAAAGAGTTAGACATGACTGAGTGACCAAACTGAACTGAACCACCAGAGAAGTCCATGATCCATTCTTAATGTTCTTTTTATAAACAAACTGAAGGAAGGGAAACTGTGATATTTCCAAAATACTCTGTGAAGAGGAATGCAATTAGAAATAAATGAGTGAATGGATATCATACATATACTGAATGAATGGATAAATTTCCTTGGGCAGCTATACTAAAGTGCAATTAATGGAAAAAATAATTGAGGAGTTGTTGTATAAGATGGTGAATAAAAAGTTCAGGGTCTTTCAGAAACAGAAAGACTGAGAGGATTTATTCATTTTAACAAATATTTAGCATCTCCCATGTGCCAGGCAATGTTGTAGGTACTAAGGACACAGAAGTAAACAAGACAGATAAAAGACCCTTCTCTAAGGGGACTTCCATGAGACAGATGGTAAACAAATGTAAAATATGAGGTAGGTGATAAGTTTTTTGAAGAGAACCAAAAGCATTATTTTATGTAGTGTCTATATTTTAATATTTTAGAAATTATTTCCAGCATATGTTATCTTAGTACTTAGAACATTGTTCTACTGTATATCTAATACTAATGGGGGAAATGGGGAATCATCTAATTTACCTACATATTTCAGTCTTACTTGTATATTTCCAAATGTGTGCCAGGAGGTGATCTCATCCATTCTTACAATTTTAGCTGGAATCTATTTGTAGTTGATGTTTAGAACTACCCTTTCACGAAGAGTCTTGCTTCATGTCATCTTTATATCTCAAATGGGATGTCTGGAGAGCAGCTCAGGTTTAAATATAGAAGAGAGATTACTCATCCCACCCGCCACCCTCAATCTGCCTCTTCTGGTTTCATCATCATGTTTTTATGTTGTATTATTATATGTCCTAGATTCTGTGCTCTGTTATCATCTGTTTTAGTACCGTAGCTCTAAGGTTGGAGCCAAGGACAGAGGTGTACACAGAATTGGTGATTTTGACTATAGACCTAATAAGAAACATAAGATTCCTTAGGAAAAATGTATAGGATAAATTGAAGATAATTGGGTTACTAATCAGTGTTTTTTTTCCAGATTACTTTTTTGTGCCTTGACAGTATTTAACTTTCTACTATAAATATATATTAAAATTTGTATCTACAGTGTATTAAGTGTACATAAATAAGGGTTTAGGACTAAAAGATGTTCTGTAACTCTGTGTGCTGAGATTTAAAGATTTATTTTCTTAGGCCTTTTCTCTTAAGTTTTGTAAGATTACATTGAGTTTTTACTTCAGATCATATTGTTTAAGTGAATGAATCATTTTTTGTAGTTTTTCTATGTAGAGGGTCTTTTAAACTTTTCTCATATTTTTAGGTGAAGATTTGATTTTTTTTTAAGTGTTAATTTTATACTCTTGATATAAAGCATTTGTGGTATATGTAATAATTTATTGGGAAATGGAAAAGTTTATTAATATTTATAAGGCTTTCCAGGTTGTAAATGACTTTACCTTCTTTTCTAGGTTTGTTAAAGTTTTGCACTGTGGGGTTTTGTGGAATTGGGAGCCTAATTGATTTCATTCTTATTTCAATGCAGGTGAGTTAGTTTCAATCTAGAAGATGAACTACTTTTACATTCAAATTTGAGTTCTGAGGTACATTTTAAGTATGTTATAAAACAGGTAGGAATGCTTTCTCATTTTTCTTCAGATGCTAGATCTAAAGGATCCATGGCCATGTTTTCAAGTAGCATTTTCCAACCTGTGTTCAATTAGTAGTTCTAAAAGACATAAGAACTTCTTTAAAAAGGATCTGTGCTCAAATATGATTTGTAAATGTGAATGCAACTGAGATACAGAGATTTCTTTACTGGATAACTTCTCAGAAGCTTAAAAATTTGCAGTATGAACCTCTAAGGAGGGATTAAGTTTATAAATATTTCCAACTTATTGTCTCTTCCTGTTACAGCTGCATTGTCACTCACTATAAGAGGATACTGGTGGGAGTCTTGTATTTACATATGAAGTTGTAGAGGCAGAAACAAAATTTTTTTGCACTGGACAGGTTCTCTATACTAGTATTCTCTTGGCTGCAAATTGTACAAACTGAAATCCAGCTAGCTGCAGCCAAAAAAGAAAACAGGAATGTCTGGGAGTGCTCTGGAAAATCCAGGAGTGGGGCTGGTCTTGGACAAGACCAAATCCATAGTCAAATGATGTACTCACCACTCTCCTCCTCTTCATCTCTGCTTCTCTGTGTTAGCCTCGTTTTCTCATGCTGCAGAGGTTTGTGAAATGCTAACCTTAAGCATTCAAAAGTTCACCAGATATTTCCTATTCCTATTTCCACCAGATATTTCCCACCAGATAGTGCCTACTGAACTGGTTGTGGTTAACTCAGGGGGATTCTTAAATTAGAGAAGAGATGAATTTATCACAACAAATGTCACAAAACAGCATTTCAGTAATCATTTATGGAGCACCTCATGTCTTCAGCAAGTGTGTCAGTGTGTATTTAGATTATCATCAGTTTTGCTCTTCTTTTTCATACAGTATTTCCATTCCTTAATTCTGTCTGCTTGATGTTATCCTTATGCTCTAAAAGAAAGTCAAAATCTAGGAGATTTTTGGTAACATACTGTGAGGAGGGGACCATACTGTGAGGAGGAGGCAACATATGGACCAATAAGATACCAGAATTAAACAAGGAAAATATTTGGTTTTGAAGTTGGAATTTTCCTGTCTTTATTCATAAACATATGCCTAACCAAATATCCTGCCTTCTCTGACTGTGGGACAGGCAAGCAGGCATGAAGAGGCTAAGGTTCTTCTGCACATATGCTTGGAAATGGGTTTCTCACTTAAATGAGGATCCAAGGAATTTAATGTACTATTGGGATTCTTTAAGGTATACAGAATTCAGTATCTTTAAAACCCAACCATTTAGTTAATATTTCACACTGGGTTCTTTCTTTGGTGATATCAGTGCTTTGTAGCTTTATTTATGTCAAATTATAGAGTTATTTGTTGATTCAGCCACTATTTTCTGGTACACGCATAAATGAACTTTTCAGAACTAATAGTTCTTTTCTTAAATATCTAGAATTGAGACTATCACATCAACAAATTATTGAGGTAGATTTAGAATGTTTGAATTTCTACACTAGGTTTCCCTAAATAAGACATTTTAATAGGGATGACCACTGTAGACTGCTTTCAGACCTGGGGAAAAATTACTTTTTTCAAAAGTAGCCAAGTAAGATATATAGCCTTATTCTACCTGTTGTTTAATATATTTGACATGTGATGTTGAATGTATTCGTTTTAGAGAATTATTTTTTCAGTCAATCAAGTAAGTTTTTACTATAAATATCATAAATTATGTTAATATTTTTGTCTTGGATATACTTTTTCAGTTTCTCATAAACCTTTTACATTCTATCATCTTTGTTTATTCTTCTTTTCTTCTTTATTTTCTCCATCCCTAATTCTTTTCTTTTTACCATTAAATATTACTCCCCAATGAATTGCAGTGTTTTTTTCTTTTGGGCTGTGATCCCAGAACTATATTGTGCATGAACTCAAGACCTGTAAAAACATACTTTACTTCGCAGTGTTTATAAGAAAAATCCAGGAAAATCCTCCTTAAAAAAATAGGTCTGGTTATTTCATCTTTGAACTAAAACAATGTAAAGTATAATGCATATATTACTAAGGTAAGTAAGCTTTAAATATATCTATACTTACTAAAAATGCTTTCATGAGTTTATCTGTTAGTAAACTTTTAAATTTTTTCGTTTTTTGTTCTTAAAAAATATGCAAATAGCACTGTGTGAATGAATGATATAAAACAATACATAGAATTAATTCATTTGTTTTGTGCATTCAACAGTTTAAATCAGTGGTACATGTATAGTATACAGTTTTTCAATTATAGGCAACTTTGTGTATAACTGCTGTGTATATAGTTATTCATAAGGCAGGTCTAAAAACTTTAAAACACTCATTTTATGCGTATATGTATTCATACATATCGTGAAGGATAAATTAGGTAATTTGCTTTTTTATCAGAAAAAATATGAGAATATTTGATTTTATTTAAACCTCTTTTCTCACTCACACAATGAACGTTTTTAATTATATCAAACCACTGATGTGTACTTCACCAACAGAAAGAAAAGAAAATTTATTCTCTTAAGTAGAGACAAGACAGCCACAAATCAGAAAGATGAGGATGGATAGAGGGAAAATGGAAATATATGTTGGAATGTAGAAAGTTTTTTAAAATGAAGTATGTCAAGATTCTTTGTGATAATTTTTAAAAATTCATTTTCATTCCTATCAACATTGCAGAGTAGATTTCCTTAAAAGACTATTAACTATGTACGTAGCAAAATATACAAAGCAATATAATCTCCAAGACAGTTTTAATTTTATAAATAAATTTATTAAATATCTCATTAGTTTGGCATTTAATATATGTAAGTTGGGGAGCTTCCCAGGTGGTGCAGTGGTAAAGAATCCACCTGCCAGTGCAGAAGATGCAAGAAGTGTGAGTTTGATCCCTGGGTCGGGAAGATCTCTTGGAGTAGGAAATGGTAGCCCCCTCCAGTGTTCTTGCCTGGAAAATTCCATGGACAGAGGAGTCTGATAGGCTACAGTCCATGGGGTTGCAAAGAGTCAGACACGACTGAGCCACTGAATACACATATATAACTCATTTTAGCACTGGGTTATATATTGTTTTTGTATTATTTTTTTTTAGCTTTTACACACCAGGTTTGATTTTTCACACATAAATTTCTTGAGGAGAAAGATTTTTATTAATCTCCTGTAGTACTAATAGTATGCTCAACATATTCTCTCAAAATTTTTGCTGATTTGAGCTGAACGCAGTGTAACTTGTGAAAAGTGTGTCTTTGTGCCAATTATAGGGAAGATAGGTTAAAAATGGTAGTTTTTTAAAAGTGAGTGCTTTTCTTTAGGTCTTTAAAGTTCTAAATTTCATAGGGCACATGAGCTAATGAACAAAAATAAAAGTTGGTATGATAAAGTATAAATAGCAGGTTTTATACCATAAGTGAAAATGACTTAGCACCATTTAGGTATAAGTTGGGGTCCTTGCCTGAAAGGAACTTAAAATCTCACTCTCTCAGAAGTGTTGTGGGAATAATATCCCACTTATTATCAGAAATATCTCATTGGAGAAATTCTCTGGCAGTCTGGTGGTTAGGACTTCATGCTCTCACTGCCAAGGACCTGTTTCAGCTCATGATCGGGGAGCTAAAATCCCATAAGCCATAAGCCATGCTGGGCAGCCATCTCCTTGGAAACTGCAGGCTGAAAATAAAAGAAGAGTATCTTGATTTTATCTCATCTAAATTCTTGAATTTTACTGAAATTTTAAGAGCCGAGGCTTTTCAGTTCAGAGCATAAATAAGATTCAGGTTATAGGTTCACTTCTGTGTAAGCCAGTTGATTTTGTCAAAGATATAACCTCTGCCCTTGCACCATGAAATACATGGTCTTGATCAAAAGAAGGACTAAATGTGTAATCACTCTAAATCTGTTTCCAGTACCGGAAACGTTGGTCAAGTCCTTGATGGTTCACTATCTGTAGGACAGCAATATATAAAAACTGTTGCTGCTGCTTCTGCTAAGTTCTTCAGTCGTGTCTTGACTCTGTGCGACCCCATAGACGGCAGCCCACCAGGCTCCCCCGTCCCTGGGATTCTCCAGGCAAGAACACTGGGGTGGGTTGCCATTTCCTTCTCCAATGCATGAAAGTGAAAAGTGAAAGTGAAGTCGCTCAGTCGTGTCCAACTCTTAGCGACCCCATGAACTGTAGCCCACCAGGCTCCTCCGTCCGTGGGATTTTCCAGGCAAGAGTACTGGAGTGGGATGCCATTGCCTTCTCCATTATAAAAACTAGATACCAAGTGTTCCAACAAGTTTTCTCTTATTTATTTAACTCTGCAGTGATATATTGGGGAAATGACCTGGAAAACTGAGGAGACTGATGATAATTTGGGCAGTCTCTGCTTTGTCACATGATCTTAATTAGGTAGATTTCATTTAGTTCACTTACCTGTGGGCAGATTTTTATTTAGTGAATTAAAGGAATGTTCAAAAAACAAAGTAGTCCTAAGACTGAACCCAATGCTATGTTTTCCTCGGGAGATAGAATGCTGAATCTTATTCATTTCTTGAGGAATGATGTTTATAATGGTCATTTAGGATTAATACTAACCAATGTTTAAGTCAAATGAAGTCAGGGGATCTGACTGTATAATTTCTGGCACTGTGTGGGAATTTTAAGTGCTTAATTAAAATGTGACTAATTAGATTTTTTAATGGTCTCATATTAAAATAATGACATACAGAAGTCAGCTCTGAACACAAACATGTAATTTAACTTTTAAGAGAATGTGAATTTACTTCTTTAGAGAATTGGGATGGACACAGGTTGCATCATTATCCTCTTAATTGCAGACAACTGTGTCATTTTACTTTTTCACCAGGTTAATAGATCTTCAGGAGATGATATGATCTTGCCAGTATTAATATTTGCATTCTTTATATGGAAGAAACTCTTAAA